TAGACAGGTCCGACGACTCAGAAAGGGATTCGTTGGAGCTCCCCGAGGAGCAAGAACCCTTATCAGTCTCATCACAGATTGAACAGGTGGTCGTCCAAGCCGACGCTCTGACATCTGATGAAGAAAGAGACAAACTTCGCCAAGTTCTTTTAAAATATGAAAAGTCATTTTCAACTGACCCAGACATCATCCAATTTCAGAAGTTGGATCCTGCAATTAACTCGATGATACTGTATCTGACTGACCCAGACAAATACACTCCATCGAAAGTCGAAATGGATTCCAATCCAGACCTTAAAGTCCTCTTTCAGCTGCGCAAACAGTTAAAACTACTCAAGGACAGTCTAACTTTAGCTCATGGAGCGACGTCCTCACCCGTGTTCGCGGTCTCCCATGACCGAAGGGGGGTGACGCCAGTTAGGGTAATGTTACCAGACGCGATAACGTGATCAAATCTGACATTCAGAGTAAGTGACGCACCGAAACGTCGTTTTCTAGTTGCTTAATCACTGCTTTTGTCAATGTTGAAACGTTGTTTAACTGGTTGCTTAGTCACTGTTTTTGTCGATGTTGAGACATCGTTTAATTGGTTTTTGGTATTGTTTCTGAACACCCCAAGCAAGAATGAATTTTGTGTGTAGTTAAGTTAGAGACTAAGAGGCCTTTAACTATGCCAACATGCAGTTCATTTGTTAAAATGTAATCTTTGCGGAGTCAATGTAGATTAATGCTACCTTAAGTACCATAATCAACATTGATCTCATAACGCTTAAGCCGAACCTACTCGAACAATTCTATTCGGGGGGATAGCTAATTCTTTTTGATGAGTCTCGCCATAGACTCCAAAAACATTTATGGGGAAACCAAACACCCAATCTCAAGTCGTTCGTCTAAAAAGACAACAGACAATTGAACCAAACTATATTTTACCATGTAAAGCTAACTTAAACCAAGTTAGGAATGGAAAAATAGTTTGGAACACTTTTCTATAGGTATAAATCCCTATATGAAACTTTTTCAGCATGTTCCACCCCTTAACTGGTAGCTGTAGCTGTTCCCAATCATAATAGCTTACACACCAGGTGCATATAGGTTAAGGCCTTATGTAAAATCCCCTTCATAAGCCCACCTTAAACCACATAATTGCATGACACATTTGAACCAGAACGGCACCCACTGGACGTCGCCCAGAGACGACCTTCGCTGGAGGAGACCTGCAATCCTGACGTTGGTCTCCACTCTTCATCCAGTGGCCGCATCTTCAGTTCAATCCAAGGGAACCCCTCTGTATGCTGATCAATCAACACCTCCCTTCGTTGTGGATTTACCGTTGTGGATTATATGACTTTTTCCAATGGATTACAGACTCTGTTTCCAAGGGGTTAAAGCATTGCCACAATGGAATTACCAAAAACATTGTGGGATTACCTCCTTTGACTTTTGTTTTCTTTGCTGGATTACATCAAGCTCAAGGACATTCGAAGGCGTAAGTTCATGTTGGAATTCATCCCCATGGACAGGCGATGATTTCCAAAGGGGGGACTGTAGTGAACTAAGCCTCAGGTCAAATCTGGCCTTGAGGGCCTTCCTGGGACAAGAACTGTATTTCATTGATTTGAGTCCAGAAACACAAGATTAAGTTCATCCAGAGACTTTCTAAGTGTCCTGCACTGATCAATTGAAAGAACACTCTCTTTTTTATTATCATTACTATTTTCTTGATAATCAAAGTGTGTTTAGTTCAAACCATTTTTAAATGTTGAAGTGAACTACTCATTTTAAATCAACTGTGAAACAGTATTAGTGATTTTTTAATCCTCATTCAAAGTAGAAATCAAGTTAAAATGTGTTACAAACGAATTATGCATTTTCTGATTTTCTGTCTGAAATGAGCAAGTGTAAGTTGGTCCAAGGTTGGAGACAAACGCAAACAAATTTGTTGGAACGAACTGTCATGTTTTTAAATCCTCTCAGACATAAATAGAGAAGCTGGCACCTGTTTTCTCCCAACTCGCCTAAACATTTCTCTTGTCTGTCTCAAAAACATTTTCAGTCTGTTCCAAAATATTTTTCTGTTTTTCTGACTTCTAGTGACCTCTTACGTCACAAAACACACCCCTGATTAGCTATTTCGGCCAATCAGGACTTCCCAAATGAACCGGAAACAGAACTCTTTAAAAGTCGGCACTTCCTAGTTCCAGCCAGTGCGGTTGGAGAGCAGTTCAGTTCGGAGAGCAAAACCGAACAGAAGAAGTGCTGGAGAGAACAGGAGGTTCAGACATGATCCGCAGTTCTTCCGAGTCTTGTGGGAATTATGAAATCTTCCACATCTGAGTGGAGCCTCTGACGGACTTACTCCTCTTGTGAGTCCACCATTGGGGTGAACGTGTGTCGGACGAAATACCGTCACTACTTCGGACGATTCACAGCTGTTCCTACGAAGACGCTGAAAGGGTGCGTTAAATGGAACTCCGTACCAGTGGAGACACCTTCTACAGGTAAAGAGTCGATTTACACTACCTAAGTGTACCGAGGAGGAAGCTGAGATCCAATGGAGCGTGCCGTTCTGATACTGATACATATTCACTCATCCATCTTTTCCTCTCCATTTAAACTTCATTTCCATCTTTAAAACTCTTC